ACGTAAAGATATGGCACGATAAAGTTTTCGGCACTCTCAGAAACGTTGTTCTCATATCGTCATCGTCATCCCTCCAGTTACGGACTACCATTTTCGCACTCACATGATCAATTTTGTTTCAGTCAAGTTTGGAGTTGATTCAACTACAAAATGTGATTTTACACTAAATGTAAGTTGAACCAATTCGCTTATTGAGTTCGCCATTTTTAACTCAGAAAATGAGTTAAATTTATTTATTTTTTTCCTGTGCATGAACACATTAAACTTACGTCAGTAAAAGATTGAACTATGGTTGGCGAAAAACTTTATATTGCGGAACGAATTGACATTTTTGCAATATGATATTATATGCAAACAAGTTGTCCTATATTTCTTGACTGTCGAACAGCCCCGTAACACGCCAAAGTAAATTTAAATAGCAAATATTTCGTTATATCAATTGCCTGACAAACGTGTCACATAAAAGGAGAAAGAAAGGAAGGTGTGAGTCAACCGAACAGGGTCGAGTCCGTGGACATTCAACCACGGCGGTAGCATGACGACGAAGGGGGTCAGTGCGGTAAGGGGACTGCATACTTGTGTCTCTCTATACCCGGCCTGGAGGCCGTGTGTCCGAGTGAGATAGCCGATTTGATGCGCGATCTTTCGGATAACATGGGACAGACTTATGCGTCCGGGTTTCGGGTCCTGACCAAATATCGGTTTCGCGTTGATGTGGCGGGCTCGGCTCGGCCGCCGATGAGGGGCCCGAGGGGCGTGGCATTCTCTTTTGCTCCTACGGGTCGCATTCTTTTTTGCTCCTCCGGACCCCGGGCTTCCACTACCACTCTCAAAACTCCGATCTCGGGCCTTCCACCCCCTGTTGTGAGGGTCTCGATGCCGGGCTCTCGATAATCGGATCAGCGTCAATGTTTACACGGTGGCGAGAAAGACTCTCTTTCTACCTCGGGCTACGGTTTCGTCTCGTCCGGACCGACGTTCTCCCTTGCTCTCACGCGGATCTTATGCCTCCCGACGGTATTCTCGCTTGCAGTCGTTCAGCCGCGGACCTTATCGCCCCTTTCTTCCACGGCTCGCAAGATAGATTGTCATTTTGCAATGACCGCGATCAAGTAATTAACAGAAGGAATGGAGGATCAATTCCTCCGCGAGAACTGTCGCCTCGAATTAACTGTACTATCTACTCATAATGTCATCCCTTTGTTGTCCATGCTTTTTCGGACACGTAATTTTATAACTTGTATTCGTATTTAAAATGCATTTAAACAATTTAGTTTCATCAGTTTTTGCGAAAGTGGTTATTTCGAGTTATGCGTGTCGTTTAACTTTTTCGAGAGTTGATTGTCATTTTGCAACGACCGCGATCAAGTAATTAACAGAAGGAATGGGGGATCAGTTCCTCCACGAGAACTGTCGTCCCGAATTAACTGTGCCATCTACTCATAATGTTATCCCTTCGTTGTCCATGCCTTTTTCGGACACGTAATTTTATGACTTGTATTTGTATTTAAAATGCATTTAAACAATTTAATCTCGTCTGTTTTTGCCAATGTGGTTATTTCGAGTTACACGTGATGTTTAACTTTTTCGAGAGTTGATTCAGTTGATAGAACAAGTATCATTCTGATCGACTCTTTTCTAATATTCTCAATTCTCTGGGAGTATTTAATTTCAAACGCAAATAGATTCAAAATCTTTTTAAAATTTGAAATCCAAAATAGTTTATTGTTCTTATTTCAAATACGAAATGGAAATGGGGTTTTACCTTTTGGATGCCTATTTCGAATGAAATCAATTCGTAAGAGTTACTCCGATTTGCGTTTATAATAAGCTCGGATAAGAAAAGTCTTTCTTATGTTTACGGGTGCTCATTTACATGCTCATTTAATGATTTACAGGTGTCCATTTATTCGAGGAATACGAAGAATGGTGTAGAACGTAAATATATAAGAGGCATGAAATCACGATTTCGTTTCTATATCCGATAGTTGATGCATCGTAAATTTTCCGACGGCATTCACTGTATATATATTTAGAAACTATTTCTTTTAAGCTAAGATAATATTCTAATTTCGGTTCAGTGAATGGAACAATTGAATCACTCAGAAACTTGTTAACATTTTATAGAACATGTTCTATTATATTGTTACGGGGCGGCCGAGCGGATGCGAGGCCGGGGTACTTCGGATGGAGATTACCCAAATCTTGCGCGTAACGGTTATTTTGCGTTTGTGAGGAGACTGATCCGAGCGGCTAGATCAATTCCTCTGGTGGGATCTAGGAGAGTGAGGAATAAAAAGGGGGTGCGAACGAAAGGCTATGTGGCGATAAGAGTTGTATTTATTCGTACGCGAGGTTTGATCTACAGTCAGCTGGAAGGGCACTCGAGGTGCCTTGACCTAACTTCTCTGGATTAGTATACTTCCGCGTCGCGGAGGTTCGGGTGTCGCGATAGCGCGCTTTAGCGGCGGCAGGTTACTGGACGCCTGAGTGCTGACGCGGGAATTCTTGATATTCTAATGGTGGTCTGCGCGTGATTCTATCTCGCGATGCTGAGATTCGAGCTCAGCTGTTAAAAGAAAATTGATGGGTTCTTAATCTATCCGGTTAACCGGAGCAAGGCATGGAAATCGCGATAATGGTTAGTATTCGGTTTTGGTCGGAGATGAAGGGTTAATAAGTAAACTAGAATGAAAATGAGGATGAATCGAGCTTGCGAAGAATCCTCTACCTGGCTTGTTCAGCGGCCGTAATCGGTGACAGTCTCTTTTGATCGACCCGGTCGGATGACAGTGCGTGAACACCTTCGTCCCGTGGCGTGCCCTAGGGTTGGAGGTCTCCTAGAAGCCTCCCGTCCAACGGAAGTCGCAGTGCCGCCGTCTAGTCCTGACTCGGTGGCTGGATCGCTGGAGTACCGGATGGCGCTACTGCAGCTCGCAGGATAGTGCTCCTTGGCAGGGAGTCCTATGGTCTTGGTCTCTGACTCGCTAGGAACGGAGTACTGGGGCCAGGAGCTCCACTCGAAGTTTCGATGACGACTGACGTTGACTTATCACAAATTGACTAAAAGACTGACTAGCCCTCTTCTGATCGGACTGCTGGTTTTATTAGCAGGATATTCCGATTGGTGGGGGTTTCCTAGGGCGCAGGTGAGGGTGGACTTCGGAGTCGTGCTGATGCGTTGCGGAGTCATCAGGTTGTTTGCCCCGGGTCGGTCGTGACTTTTGGAGCCGTTTGGCCGGTGAACTCGTTGAATTCTTTCGCAAGAGTTTCGCGTTTCTGTACTCGGATTTCTATGGCTGACTCCGGTTAAAAAAAAAAACGGATTTTTCCCTATTTTAGGGTACGGAAGGTACCTACGTCACAATATTCTTTATAACATTCTGTACATTATTATTTAACAAAAACTACGTTGGGTGGGTCAGGGACGCTCCACAGTAATACTAAAATAATTTTCATTCATTGTTTTTGTTTATAAATATTTATTTTCTTTAGGAAATCCATTCTGCCCCTTGGGCTACTCGCTACTCGTAATGTTAACCCTCCGTTGTCCATGCCTTTTTCGGACACGTAATTTTATGACTTGTATTTGTATTTAAAATGCATTTAAACAATTTAATCTCGTCTGTTTTTGCCAATGTGGTTATTTCGAGTTACACGTGATGTTTAACTTTTTCGAGAGTTGATTCAGTTGATAGAACAAGTATCATTCTGATCGACTCTTTTCTAATATTCTCAATTCTCTGGGAGTATTTAATTTCAAACGCAAATAGATTCAAAATCTTTTTAAAATTTGAAATCCAAAATAGTTTATTGTTCTTATTTCAAATACGAAATGGAAATGGGGTTTTACCTTTTGGATGCCTATTTCGAATGAAATCAATTCGTAAGAGTTACTCCGATTTGCGTTTATAATAAGCTCGGATAAGAAAAGTCTTTCTTATGTTTACGGGTGCTCATTTACATGCTCATTTAATGATTTACAGGTGTCCATTTATTCGAGGAATACGAAGAATGGTGTAGAACGTAAATATATAAGAGGCATGAAATCACGATTTCGTTTCTATATCCGATAGTTGATGCATCGTAAATTTTCCGACGGCATTCACTGTATATATATTTAGAAACTATTTCTTTTAAGCTAAGATAATATTCTAACTTCGGTTCAGTGAATGGAACAATTGAATCACTAAGAAACTTGTTAACATTTAATAGAACATGTTCTATTATATTCTTTATAAAATTCTGTAAATTATTATTTTACAAAAACTACGTTAGGTGGGTCAGGGACGCTCCACAGTAATACTAAAATAATTTTCATTCATTGTTTTTGTTTATAAATATTTATTTTCTTTAGGAAATCCATTCTGCCCCTCGAGCGATTCGAATTCTGCGCTTCTCCCGCCTCTGGTACGCTGCGCGGCCGGAGGGGGCAGTGCGGACCAGGAGCAAGCCATCGATGGAGTCCAGTGTACATCGTAGAAAATTCTCTTTCTTCTGACGAAAATGGGTCTGAGGCATCACGTAATTTGCTTCTTCTTCAAATTAGATTGTCATTACGTCACCGAATACGATTGTTGTCAAAAATCAAAACACCCAGGAGGTTTTCCATTATGAATTTCGGTGTCACAATCCGAGGAAGATGGCGTTCGCTGCTCATATTTTGCTATCTTTTCTTGCGTGGTCCACAATTTCGCTTAAAAATTCCTGCCGTGCCAGTTCATACGAATGTCTCGCATTTTCACCCCTAAAAGCGTTCCGTGATACCGTGAGCTACTCATTTTTCACATTTTCGCTCAATTTGCTTTACGTAATAGACCCCTGGTCTTCCGCACTACCTGAGATTCACGAGATTGAATACTTCATGTTGGCCCCTTAGCGATAGCGCTGCCACCTATACAGAAAATTTTAAACAATGTTTCGTATCTTGTTTCGCGGTTTCGTGCTCCCATGAGGGAATGCAGCTCGTTTCTTGGTTTCTAGTGTCCATGACCCACGGTCTGAATTCATCGTTATGAATTCTAGTTGGCAGAAGTTGTGAGGTTTGACAGTGATTTTAATGTTTTTAGTGTTTTATGTTTGAAATATGACTGGATTGTCACAAACTGATAATGAATTGAAAAAGTTATTAAGTAATCCAGCTAAAAATGTTAGCGATGACGGGTCTATGGCCCCTCCCCTTACGGTTAGTGCTAACATACAGCAATTGTGGTTATGTTTAACAGTTCGAGTTAAATAATTGTTTAATGTCATGTGTGTTTTTTAGACAAATGTTCCAAGGCCAAGCACATCACATAGCTCTTGTATACAGATGACAATGACTCCAGCATGTAGTACAAAAGAAACATTACAACCTTGTATACAGTACGTTAATAATTTTCTAACGGTGTTTCTTAAAATATTCCTAAATGTAAAATGAAATTTTTCATTTTCTTTGTAGTATTTAATGAATTCTTTCATAAATTTATCACATAGAGCTTCCATAGTTTAGGTATAGCTCTTAGTAATTGGTTGCCTGCGGTTTTCAGGTTATTTAGATATGTGGGTTTTTCATTTTATGCAGTACGCTTGCACATAATTGTTTCTAAATTAAAAAGCTAGTAGTTTTCAAAGTGATCTATTACCTTTGGAATAAATTAATTCTGGTAAATATTAACATTATGTCCATAAAAGGTATTAATACTGATATTGTTATTTGACATCGCAAAATAATAAGAATGTGAAATGTAGATTTTTCCCTTAAATAATATAAATATTATCAATGAATAATAGTAAATTGTTATAAATGTGGGGCACTGCTAGGTGGGGGATCGTTTGTCCAGGAGCGGCAATAGTGGTTCGATCGGACCAGGTTTTGTGGATTGTTTAAGGGACTTGCTTCCAGATGGTTGAAACCACCCAAAGACCTCGTCGAGTAAAGTAAAAAGATACTTTATTTCTGGTGCCTCTTGGTTTACAGGAATGACTCGTAGAGTAGTGGACTTGAGGGGACTGGTATTCGCCCAGAGTTACAGGTGCCTCGCACGCAGTTTACAGAATGGAGACAATTCAAATTTCACCGGTCAGAGAGCGGGAGCCCTTCGAAGCGGGCCTTTTTATACTAACTTTTATACTAACACTGGGGTGTTCCTAGATGCGGAGAAGGATGCTTATTGGTGGGTTTTTAAGATTGAGAAGGGTAATGTCTCGTGTGATTGATTTGGGGACAGGTTGAAGGGGAAACAGGTGGAAAGTCGTCTTTTCCAGAGGATCCGAATGTTTGCCTTCCCCAGGGCTGTTGCCTGGTTTGGGGTGCGGAAGTACTCAGAGAAACAAAGGGGAGATAAAGAACGAGGGAGAGCATGTCTACGAACGTTTTGGAGTACGAGACGCGCTGCTTAGAGTTTCTTTCTTAATATTACTTAAAATAAAATGTTAGGTAGGGACCTAACAGCACCTGATTGGTTTTGGAGTTATGAAATGATTTAGTGATTAGTGATAAAGATAATATAAATGCAGTGTTTGTGTTATAAAGTCTGATAGTTTAGAAAATGTGGTTCCATATTCTATGGTATATGAATGCAGCTGACTTAGCGTAATTTATGAATGAATACATCAAGTACTATTACTTTCATTTAGATTAATTTAAGTACACCTTTGCTAAATATAATTAATGGAAATAAGTATAGTTAAATTAGTGTTTTTGCTCTACTCATATTTTGTTCAATGAATTGCTTGTATTATGTTCCATCTGAATAGTTTCAATACTGATTAGCAATAAAACTACTCATTTTTTACAGAAATGTTGTTTCAACTGTTAATTTAGGAACTCAATTACAACTAACATATATTAATACAAGAACTAGGAATTCTGAATACAATCCTGCACGTTTTACGGGATTAATAATGAGAATTCAATGTCCAAGAGCAACAGCCCTAATCTTTCGTTCTGGAAAATTGGTGTGCACTGGTACAAAAAGTGAAGAAGATTCTTTTTTAGCTACCAGAAAATTTGCTAGGATAATTCAAAAATTAGGTTTTCAGGTAAGAACACATTTGCTTTGTTGTATTCATGCTAGTATTTTTTGTAAGTATAATACTTCATTTTATTCTTAAAATATCTGATTACATACATTTTGAATATAATAGTGTCTACTTTTTATTTATCCATTGATAGTTGATGTTTCTGTATTCTAGGTGAAGCTTATTCATTTTAAAGTTCAGAACATAGTAGCAACGTGTGACTTAAAATTTCCAATTAAGTTAGAGAACCTAAATCATATGCATGGGCAGTTTTCTAGTTATGAACCAGAGTTATTCCCGGGTTTAATATACCGGATGGTTTTACCTAGAGTTGTGTTACTCATATTTGTCAATGGAAAAGTTGTTTTAACAGGTACGTTATGAGGTCATATTAAAAACAAATTGTGGTCACACTAAATAATGAAATGTTTTACAGGAGGAAAACAACGTAGTGAATTGCATGATGCATTAACAAATATATACCCCATATTGAAAAGTTTCAGAAAACAGTAATTATTTAATTTGAAATTAATTGAATTATGTACATTATGTATTATGGCTTTCTGTAAGTAAAACTGATAAACTTGTATTAAAAACGATACCTTTTTACTATTTTATTACATTTTGTGTAATAACTCTTTAGTAGGATATTTGTCAATTAAATAATATATATTTAAAAAATATACATTTTTGTAACAGAAACTAAAAATGTTTATATACACTATGTCAAAATAAAACAGTAGATGCTATTGGAACTTAAATGTATATAGCGTCGTCCCCTGTACGGAATTTAACAATAAGGAATCATATTCAGTGGGTCATCTGAGGTCCTTAAGGGGGTAACCACATTAGGAGGCTAATTGTCAGGCGTTTTTTATGAATTTTTTTGAGTGTAAAGAATTAATTGGAATTTGATCTAACGTTGACATTATTTTATTGATATTTTGAATTACATTTACAAATTTGTTCAAGTCAGTTTTGACGAAAATGTGGAAATTATGGACTGTTGCTCACCAAAGGTCGTCGCTCGAGTTTGTTCGCGGGAAATGTGGAGATCGCAATTTTTATCTTAAATCAAAATGTTTGTTTTTTAAATTATTAACATGATTTCTAAGAATATGAACCTCATTGCGAGTAAAAATTGTAAAAATTGAAGTGCTGACAGGTGTATGAAAAAAAGTCTCGATTTTCACATTTTTTTCTTTTATTTTGCAATAAAAAAACATTTTTAAAATTATGATATCCCAAATATTGGCTCATGTTGTTCGTAATTTCATAAAGAAACACTTTCAATTTTCATAGCGATCGGTTCAAAAGTTTTTCAGCTAGAATTCCTGCGAATCAAAAAAATGTCGATGCGAGAAAAACGCGTTTGAAACAAAATTTCCGAAAACTAGAAATTTGAGAAAATTATCAATAATATAGAGTGTTTACCGATCAATCAGCGATTCCAGCATCATAGCAATCCTCATAGGCATTATTCTGAGCTTGCAGTTGTTCTTTTCTTGCTTTCCGACTTTCCCTTGATAAGTGACTACCTGAGCGAGCGCTCCACCCTACCTGCTGTGCGGTCAAGCTCTGAGTCAATGGGTGGTCGGTTTTAGTCTCATAAAACCGGAACGAATTCGAATTTCGCTTTCAAATTGTGGCAACGTATTCCTGAATAGTTATACTAATAATTTATATAATAAAAAAAATCCGTTTTTTTAACATCCTGCTGTGGTTTCCTCCCTTAATCGCGCCAATCCGAAAAAGGGACAATCAAGGCTCCTACAGTAACCCTGCAATGAGGATATTTCCGTCTGCAGAATCTTCGAGTTGAGAAGACTAGGTAACAAGGTTTATTCTTCAATGGTCTCCTTTTTTTGAAAATTCTCGTGACTGTGTCATTAACGTTAATCTGTTCCTAACCCTCGCACCCAGTCAAAAAATATGTTGCGCATTTTTACCGATGTACCGTTAAAACTTAGTCACCACCCTCCACATCACTTTTAAGGAAATTTCGGACCTTATTTTTTCCACCAATGGCAAGACAGCGGACGTTAAGATGATATTAGCCGCCTGCACAAATCGCGATGTATTTGCTCACACCTACCACCAGTTAAGGTGAAGTGAAACACGTCGAGGAACTTGATCGACGTCGATAAAGAAGATTTTTCTAAATGCCTACGTGGCCGACGTTCGTTTTTATATTGACAGTTGTGTCGAATTACATTGCATATTGTACCAAATGGCATACTCCACCTGTTGTTTTCGTATAATAAATACCAAGAAATCGAAGTAAAACTCCAGAAATCTTCTGGATTCATGTTTTCTGGGACCCTAATTGACTGCAGAGGGACCCCCTGCGCCATCTGTGATTTCCAGGTCAATTAAATTTTCACTCCGAGACCTCGTATTCCCATCGTTTTAGCATAGAAGCGCATACAACACTTTTTTTGCCTTTATTCCGTTCAAATGCGAGTTTCTCGATTACGAGAGTGTTCTAAATTGTCATAAAATTGTCCTGACCCATTGGATTCTTATATCAAAGCCTTCGATAACTGTATATTGCTCGAAATATGGGAGGTCGACGCCATTTTGGTTCTGGTCTGGGCTGAGTTAAACAATTTTTTTTTTAAATCCAAATTTTGAATGTGTCAAGACGATTCTTAGATGATCAGGAGAGAGGTATCAAAGTTTCGAACAGTTTGGTCTAATATCCTTAAAAAAAAAGTGTTGTATTCGAATCGACTGATTTGAAGGGGGTTTCATTTCACCTTAAGAAAGCAATATCATTTTCTAGCATCCGAACGAAATCAGATTTTGAAGAGTAAAAACGAAGAAATCAAAAATCGAAAAGGACCGCGACCACCTCAGTCATCTCATTAAAAAATAGGATTCTTATGCGCCGAAAGCAAACTAAGATCTTGCATCGGTGTTCTTTAGGATAACATAGGCCAGCAACACCGCCCCCCAACGTTGCGTGCGACTTACACCAACAGATGCAACAATTTATTACAGGTACACTCTGCGTGTTGGTATCAGTGGTGCATGTACTTCTGATTTATGACCGAGTTATTTAATTCTCACTTCACATCACATATTTGAATAACATATCATTAAATGCAGCATAGTTACACTTGATTTTTGAAAAAAAAAAAAAATAGAATGTAACGCGTGCTTTGCTTTGATAGAATATTGTCTATTAATAAACAAAAATATATAAAGAGTGCAATCTTCCAACCACACCCCCTTTAAAGCTGCTTTATTTTAGTATCAGTAATTTCACTTTCACTTATGCTTTAATACTGTAATATAATTAGTACAGGTATTGAACTTTTTCCTTTGGGAAGATGTTGCTATTAGGAAATTAATAGCCGACATTGATGCCTTTCTTTGCAGCAATGGGTAGTTTTTCTCCTCGGAAGTATGGGTTGGCTTCCTGGAAAAAAAAATACGATAGTACGTTTTTTCAAGAGCGATCTTACATACGATTATACGTATATTACAAAATTTTCATATTACCTGAAATTGCTTGACGATTTGATCAAAATCTGAATGCGAGATGCGCATATTTGGTAATGCATTGTTATTTTCAGGTCCTTTGGTGCAATCTAACATGTGCTCAGCGTCACACATGCAATCTTGAGCACGTTGATAATTTCGGCTGAATACCGCAGTATTTTCGAAATTTACAATACAATTATTTTCACCTAGGAGGAAATTAATTTTTGATTATTGCCTTTTTTATCGATAAAGTTTGACCTGATACTATATACGGATTATTGAATGGATTTTATTCAAAATAGAAATATAACAATATACAAATTTCCGTTTGTCAATGACTATTATATCTAAATATTCTGGTAATATTTGTGAAATCAAACTTGTATATATTTTTTCTATATTGAAAAAGTGCATTCAGAAGTAATAATTTTCGTTAATTATTGTCTAATATTTGTGTAGAGTTATATTGTGTGGAGTAATATTGTGTAGAGTAGGTATAATACATCCTGTAATACGCGTGGTTTTCTACGTGTATATTACAACGTATATGTCCCTAATTTTCTACGCAAGCACAAAGTTTATTACGTCCTTCTATTTCTAAGTAGAAAATAATAAATTCAATTCAAAATGTGATATTAAACAGCGTTAAATTAAAAAATGTTGGATATAAGCGTTAAGTTAATTTATTATTCCTTACAAATATTTACGAGTTTACATATGTGCTAAAAAAACGCCTATAACCTAGCGGGTCTCGTATATTGTACGTATTTTTGCAGCACCTTCTATATTGGAAACGTAATTTACTGATTTTTTACGATTTTCTCAGATTTTCTACGATAAACTACTTGGTTTATATTATATACGTCAAAAACCTCGAATAACGCGAAATTACCCAACCTTGGTTATGGTATAAGTTTGTAGGATTCTTTTTTAAGCCCTAGTAACCGTGAGTCAGTCATTTTTAATTGATGGTGTCAGAAACAAGAAAACCTTATGTAATTCCCAGCTGCTATTTTTCGAAACGAATGACATTTTCCAGCAAAGACTAACACTGTGTTACGTGGTGGCCGAGGGGATGCAATGCCGGGGGAGATATTCGGGTTAAAGAGGTCTTACCTCGTACGTCTACGTAACGATTAGATATTGTTGTGAGCAGATGGTCCGAGCGGCTAGACCAGATCCTCTGGTGGGATTTATAGGAATGAGGAGCTGAGGAGGGCTCAATAAATGGAGGTTATTGATAAGTTGACGAGGACGATTATATTTGTCTCTTGTCAGGTGGTATTTCTACAAGTCATGAGGGTCCGTCAGGGTCCTCGAGTCTAATTCTTGCGGTTCGGTTTCGTTCCGCGTTGCGGAGCTTCGGGTGACGCGATAAGGCGGTCAGTGCCAGTAGGTCACTGGACGCTTAATATGCTGACGTGACGTTTCTTGGATTTAGAATTTACGAGGTTCGCGTGATTCTAACGTAAGGCAAGATATTGACGTGTTTGGACGGAGATACAAAAGGACTTAATCTATCCGGTTATCCAGAGCTAGGCATGGAATTCGGGTATTTCTAGTTAGGATGAATGATGAGATTAGGATGAAAAATGAAAGTGACCCGAGCTTGCGAAAGGGCCTGTACCTGGCTTAAATCAGTGGCTAAATTCGGTGACGTCTTCCTTAAATCGATCAACCGGATGACTGCGTGTGAACATGTTCCGCACGTGACGTGCCCTCGGGTTGGAGGTCTCCTCGAAGTCTCCCGTCCAACGGATGTAGTAGTGCCACCGTCCCTTCCTGACTTGATGCTCTTGGATCGCCGGACTACCGAGCAGCACAACTGTAGCCCGGGGTGCAAGTGATCCTCTGAGTTCGATGGTTTCCGTCTTAGACTCGCTAAGAACTGAGAGCCGAGAACCAAAGACTCCAAACTCGCGGTCGATGGTGATGATAGTTCGTGAGACTCGGTGCGAGACTGATTTTTCTTCTAACTGACTAACTGCTCGCCAAAAGTGGTTGCTGGTTTTTATCGCTGAATTTGGGACGGCGCCCCAATTGGTGGGAGTTCCATGATCTAGACGAGGGCGGTGATTGCAGGGGCGTAGGATGTGTTGCAGAGTCATCAGGAAGCACTTGGGCCCGGTTGATCGCGACCTGGTCTACTTGGGTTGGTGACGCGATCTTAGTCAGGCCGACTCAAGACTTCCTTTCGCAAGCGTATGTCAAAATCGCGTGCTAATTTATGGAATTCCATGGCTACCTTTCGGTTTACCGGGTTATGACTATTTCGTAAACGGTGCCTACGTAACAACTGGAAGAAACCGGATATTTATGAAATGTGTCGAATGCTTAGTTTTTGACGGATCTTGCACAAGGAAACGAGACATCATTTTTTGAAAATCGGTCTATCAAGGCTAGTGACAAACGAGGAGGTATTCACTCGGGGAATCACGGATTTTAACGCTCGAAATAATGTGGATATCATCTAGAAATTGTAAGCAAAAATCATTGGAAATAGTTCATCATCGTCGTTCATCATCGAAATCATTCGAAATAACTGAAATACTGTCACAATGTTAAGGCTGACCGTCACTTGTTACCTAATTGCGTTGTTGTTTATTATATGAAATCAAAGTAAATTATCTGTCAAAGAAGGAAATGTTTTTTTACTGATTTCCAAATGAACAGCCCCTTGGTGACAGGCTTACAATTCCGAGGCAATAATTTCAAGATAGACACAATGTCGATACAAACATGGACCGTCCGACACATTTTACGTATGTACTGCTTACGTCGGCATCAATAGCGACCAAAAAATAAATAATAAGGAAGAATTGTGGGAGGTAATTTTCCAATGCATCAGCTGTTATTTACCACACCTTGAGTTAAGGGCATATACTCCCAGGTGGCAGACTAAGCGCCATAGTGCGTGGATAATAGACCGATATTTCTTTCATGGACGTATAATATATGGACTGCTCATTGGGTGCCGCTTGCAGAATGGTGAGAGAACTAGAACTGGCGCTATCGGGTCTACGCTTGTCTGCGCAGATCGAATGCTCAGTACGTTCTTGACAGTTCGTTGGCAGCAATATACCAGGTGTATAAGTTTAAATCCGCTGTTTTTTAGTCAGAAAAACACATGTTTTTTTATAGAAAGCGAAAAAATAATTTATTTAAAGTCCTGGCCCTCGCTAGCTACATATTTGTCCCATCTCTCGTGCAATTTATGGATACCACGCCAAAATAATTCCATTTCTTTCGAGGCAAACCACCCATCAAGCCATTGTCGGACTTCTTCGTAAGAATCGAAGTGTTGCTCAGCGAGCGCGTGGTCCATCGACAAAAACAGGTGGTAGTCGGTAGGGGCTAGGTCTGGTGAATAAGCGGCATGGGGTAGCACCTTCCAGTTGAGTGTTTCCAAGTAGTTTCGGACCATTTTTGACGTGCGCGACGGTGCGTTATTGTGGAGGAAAATCAGCTTATCGTGTCTTTGCTAATAATCTGGCCTTATTTCACGCAGAGCACGGGACAATTTGATCAGTTGTTTGTGGTAGCGGTGGGCATTGACAGTTTCACCAGGTTTCAACAGCTCATAGTAAACAATACCCTGCTGATCCCACCAAACGCACAGCATCGTTTTCCGTTCGAAGCGATTTGGTCTTGCGGACAATTTTGATGGTTGGCTGGAATCAACCCACGATTTCTTGCGTTTAGGATTCTCGAAAAATATTCACTTTTCATCGCGACACAATCCGATGCAGGAACGACTTTCTTTTATCTCTGGCGAGCAAGATTTCGCGTGTGTTTTGGCGTAGCTCCATCTGCCTATCGGTCAATTTATACGGTACTCATTTTTCGATCTTTTGAACCATTTCCGTGGCACGTAGGCGCATGGAAATGGCTGGTTGAGGAACATCCAAATGCTCGGCAAGTATTTTTTGCGATTGGGTATCGTCCTCGTCCAATAGAGCCTGCAATTAATGGTCCTCAACCGTCCTGGGCCGATTTTCACGCTTCTTGTCGCTCAGGTCAAAATTGTCGCCTTTGAACAGACGAAACCAATCTCTGCACGTTGTTTCCGATAAAGCACTGTCGCTATGGGCCTCCACAAACGTTCGATGCGATTCGGCAGCCGATTTCTTCAAATTGAAGCAGAAGAGCAGATCTTCCCGCATATGCTCTTTTTCTGACAAAAAACTAGACATGATTACCAAAGAAAAAATGTATGTTGTTGTATGAAATTGCTGATGGTGTGCACTGATTATTGTTGACAGATGTCAAACTTATACAAAACAAAAGTATATACTTTCCATCGTGTCCATAGTAACTTTCCATCGTGTCCATAGTAACTTAATATGCCCACCCAATCGGGGCCACTTTGTACCAAATACGGTTAACGCCAATGGCGACCTGGGAGGTGAGGTGCTCACGTGACCGTGCGGATTCCAAATGCGAATCCAATCGAGGCCGTGTAAAGTACCTGAACTGGGCGACGATTGGAGGCCTATAAAACAAGAGGGATTTTCCCAAACCTATTTAAAGGGTGGTTGATCACGATTTTAGTCAGTCAGTTCTGTTATCTTCCCGAACCATTTTGCACGGTCACATGGGGAATAAATTTGCGCAACTATCGAACACCGTTGGTTTTCAATCGCGTCTTGCGTGCGTGTACAGGAGTATTGCCAGGATACTTCAAGGAAGCCATCAAGGTGGCAGACAATGACGATGGCTCGTTATGGCTGCGGTAATGGAAGAATAGTAAACATTTTTTTCAACGTCTTTTTTTCTAAGATGATTAAACATTTTTCTATATGTGCAATTGCTAATAATGTTCTTAAAGTGATAGTAACAATTAATTAAAAATGCGTTGCTTAATGTACTTACTTTGAGTATTTAGTCAACGAATTTTGTTTTAGATAATTGAGACCTTATTTTTTAAAGGAATTATTTTTTAGAACAATGCATATAATTTTTTTTTGATAATGAGCATTGTACATACTATGGTACAATAAATAGGGATCTTATGCGTTTCGCGTTCCGTGCGTGTGTGATGCCGACACTAGGCCGAAGTTTCATAGAGTCCGTCATGTTCTCACACAACTCGGTGCGCCATCACGTCAACTAATCTGAATGAACATTTCATTACGGCGGAAGTGAGACGTAGTTCTGATTGGTTGACGGAGTAACACGCCGCGTTTTATGGGACCCTCGTCGGATTCTGTGTAACGTTGGCTTTACCTTTATCCATCTTTTCGCGATTCCACGTCTATGTGAATATACCTTTTAAAATTAGCCGGATTGCAATGTATCGATCCGGGATAAAATGTATTGATACTCATCTGTATCGTCGTTCAAAGTATCGATACAAAATGTTACGTGGCGACTGAGTGGCCAGCGAGGCCGGGGGAATTTTACAGGTTCCTCCGAGCGGTATACTGTTTGTAGAGAAATTAACTCGTACGCACGCGTAACCAGTTTATGATTTGAGAAATATGGAGAGGATAACCGGAGCGGCTAGGTCAACCTCTTTAGTGGGATCGATAGGTTTTTTGATCCTCGGAGGGTGGTTGGAAAGATGCAATGAGGACACAGGAGGGTTTTAAGGTTTCGTGAGAATCTAGTCGTCGTTTTATATTGAATGAAACAGTTCTATTTATGAAGCAAGGGGTACAATGTCCATGGGGGTAAGTTGTGCAAAAATATACTGTGCTAAGAGGATTGTCGTGGGACGAGACAAGGACGTTGGACGCCGCGCGCTAGCGGCTCGCGGAAGTGTAACGATATAGGTCCGCGTATCAATTGCGGAATGGTGATGCGAGATTCTTTGCTTGCAAGGTGCGCTTTGCCTTTCTCAGCAAGGGCAGCTAATGAGTTGCGATTTATACTGTGAGGAGTTAGAATTCGGTAGTCGTTACCGGAAGGTGAATACCGAATTCTGTTGTGGGTTAGTAATTTGGAATAGGGTTCGAAATAGAGTGATGAAAGAGTGGAGCTCTTTGAAGAAGACTTGTGCCTTGACTTCGCAGAGGTCTTTACTTCCGGTGACGTCTCTGCTACGTCCTGCCGGTTGCGATGAACTGCACGTGAACGCCTTCAAAATGGGGCGTGCCCTAGGGTTGGAGCTTCCTAAGATTCTCCTGCTGGTCCGGAATTCGCAGCGCCGTCGTTCTTCTCACTGTTGGCTCGTGGATGTCGGAGTACCGAAACGCACAACTGTTACTACAGTACGGTTAGCTCTTCTGAGAGCCCCAGCCACACAGAGTGTGGACTGACTGATCGCCTCAGACTAGATCCTGAGATTGGCTTCCTAATACTGAACTCTTTAGACTGCCTATTGCCCTTTTTCGGTGCCGTTTTTATACGAGATCTTATCCTTGAGATGCCCACGAGGACAGGGTCCAATTTACATTTTTTGGATTTTGTTGTTAGGGCTTGATCGAACGTGCTCAGGAAGTCACTATGTTGACGGATGAGTAGGCCCCGTGTTTTGGTCCACAGTGCAGTTTGGTGCGGAAGGCGTGCGAATAAGCCTAAATATTCCTCGATGATTGCTCCACTCGTTATTTTTCCGGTTTAATCAGATGATACTATCGTTGCTTTGGATTCGATATTTATCTTCCGGTAACTGACTCATACTTAATGTAATACGCGCCTCTCTATTTTGAGGAAAATCTGGTAGCCTTCTAACAAAATATCAGGTGTCGGAAGATAAAATATCAATATTCTAAAATATCGTATCGAATCGTATCTCCTTTATTAGGGTCAACCAAGTTGCATAAAAGAAATAGGTCATTCATAGTAGACTGGATATTTGATAATTTTATGCGGGGTATGCTAAATTTATAATAACTAATTTTTCTAAATTGCACAATACGAGGTCGCCATTATTTGAATTAACAACTGTTAGTCTGCATTTGGTATCATAAACTTATTACATTTTATTCGAACCGAAAACTTGAACGTCTGACCCTCTTTGTTAAGCGACTCTCGAACACAAAATATTGTGCTACGAGGAAATCAAATTTTAGTGCTTATCGTTCTGTGCTAAAATGACAACTAAGGATTGCACTGGTAACGTTGCTGTGTTTCGATTTAGGATTTGTCCTTGAATATGTATAAGTATTTGCTTTTGTACTACTCAATTGCACTCTGTCGTTGTTCTTTTCATTTTTCTATTAGTCGACTCTCGAATGAAATTTTGAGCTACGAGAGAAATCGAGATCTCAACGAATCATATTGTTCTTTGCGATAGTGGTAACTATGGATTACGTAGCGCTGGCAATGTCGCCTTGCATTGATTTGGGCTATGTCACTTTTGTAATCGTAAATACCTTTTTATTTAATATCTAAATGATTTCAAGACAAAATTCAGTTATGAACATATTTTTCTATAAAGAAAGGATTTATATTTCTTTTTCTGCATTCATTTATAAAGGAGTGCAAAATGACAGCTGGGGTACTGGAAAATTCCCTTCCGGTATTCATGAAGGTCAGCTATTTCTTCGACAAGTTATTGATACCGAAATAATCAGTTGATGTATAAAATGGTCGGGCCGTGTTTGTGATGATGTGATGTCTCTCTCGATATTGTCTCGATATCATAAGTCTGTCACTGGCCTTGGCAACACGACTTTCAAAAAGTGATATTTCGTTTCTTAGTGAATGATCCATAAAAAGCTGACTATTAGACACATTTTGTGAATATCTAGTTTCTTCCAGTGCTGGTCTTTGCTGGAAAAATGTCATTCATTTCGTAAAATACTGACTGGAACTTTCATTCAATTGTCTCATCCCTTATGTCATCAATTCAAGATAGCCGACTCGTCTGCTGGAGCATTAAGATGATATAAAAGGCGCTGAGAAACTTAATCGACGTCGATAAAATAAAATTCATCTACACCCTTTTTGGTGGTAATGCCGTTTTGAACACTCAAGTGGTAACAGAAACTGGCGCGCCCCGTTGCCGACATTCATATGAGCCCATAATTATGAAAGTGATCTAAGTCAAAATTTAAAAAAAATGAGTTTATCAGTTATTTCACCCCACATTATTTTAAACTAAATTAATTCAAGGTAATTTTTTCGATATTGTCAAAAATGAACCATTAGATAGTGGTTGTAATTTCAATATTATACGGAATTCATTTAGTATTAATTATGAAAGTGGTCTAAGTAAAAAATTTAAAGAAATTATATAAACATAACCTTAAAATAGCACGTGGCCCTCCTTAGCGCGTTTTTGAACTACACAATAAGCCGACAAATGACAATCAAACAACAACAGAAACGACAATACTTTCCGGTCTACCTAACAATATATGGAATTCATTTAGTTCTATTTTGAAAGAGCATTAATTCAGTTGGGCTCTTCCGAACTCATTATTGGCGGAAAAATAATTTATATATTTTACCACTATGTCAACAGATAGCGGTTCAGTTACCTAACTTACGTTAATGACAACGTACTTATTATGTAAATACGTTAATTATTATTCAGATATGATGTGATTTGCAGATATTATACGACGACGTAATACTTCTTTAGATGATTCTAAATTCCACATTTTGAATCTTTCACCTAAAAGAGGAAGACCAAAAATATACGGAAATATTAAATTACTTCCACTATGCACCACCACTAGACCAGTAACGGAAGAAAAACAAAGATATTATGTGTTTATTACCATACATCCCTCCAGTTTTTCAGGAACATTTTAAAAATCTTAAAAACACATAATGATAAAAGCCTAAAATGATAAAAATGGATTACTTTTTAAAAATAATTAATAAAGGTTCATGAATTATTTCATTAAAATTATTGTTTCTAATATAACTCGTAGTTTTTTATTGTTTTAAGTTATTCATAGGACATTCAGTTAATTTTGAAAATGGTCCAAGTCAATTCACACTTTAAAAACGACATTTTGGTATGAAATTCACATAAAATTTCATATTCATAATAAATTTCCATTAATCAAGAGTAATAAAATTCTAAATTAAAATGTTGCATGATATAAAAATATTTTTTAATTTATTCAAATGCAATTCATTAAATATCTCGAAACAAGAAATATATGACTTAGATCACTTTCATAATTATGGGCACATATTTATGTTGAAGTGTTTTACAGTCTACGTTGAGAATTATACGAACTGAAGCGTTCCATTTGTCATTTCGGTAAAGTAATGATAAAAAGATCGATGTAAAACCGTCAAAATTCCGTGAATTCATTATTCTAACGATTGTTTAGGACCAACGTCGTCATCTGTGACGCTTATTTGCAACTAGATTTTTTCTCTAAAAACATGTGTTATCCACGAGACAAGTCAGCATTCTCTTGCAATTGTCGGTGAAAGTATTTTTCATATTTTTCCACATCACCTTGTAATATTCCATTTTTATGATATTCTAAACTGTTCGAGCTAGGGCCTGAAATTCTCAATTTTCGATTCTAAGCCTCCAAGAAGCGTAAAACATCGAAAACGTGCACGAGCCATGCCATGTTGGTTTTAGTCCATGATAAATTAATTAATTTTTTATAAAAATGAAATTTCATGAGTTTCAGGACATACTTTAGGGCCTCCACATTCACGTGGTAAAATTTGAAACGAATCGGTACATCGAATTCGCAGAATACTTTCACCAACTATTTGACTTTTCATATATATAAAGGCTGACTCTTTCATATTACCTTAAAAATTGTAATGAGCTACCTACAACTTCCGGAAAACCCTAATTTTATGTTTAATTTATAATGCAGTAAATAATCATTTTTTAATACCAGTTGGAATAGTTAGTCGATCATTTGTGAGCAGGTAGTACCGATCACTATTTTGAGAATTTAATATTGATGTTAAAAACTTTCTATTATTCTTGACGTTCATTTGTGTTAATGTTGATAGGACCATTACTAATTGTATGTATTCTATCATCTATAAATCGTAATATTAAAGTTAATATTTTTACTGTTCCTTAATAAGCACTGATGAATTACAAAAATAATTGCCACTAATAATTGAGAACATGAAAATTCACATTGGTATATTTTTTTGTAAACGGGAAAAAGTTATCGATATCAGAATTAATTTGAACGATTCTGTAATAATTAAACTGCAGGAATAACAATGTATAAAATCTTACTGGTATATCCTATTGGACAAGGATTCGGCGGAGTACAGTAAGCTGGCAAATTATTTTCCGTTTTTTCATCTTTAATACCCGTCAATCCTCCTGGTTGTATTCTGTGACGATCCTGGCCCATTCCTCCATTTTCCATTCTTTGGTGACTCCACAGTGAGCTATGCTGTAAGTACTCTTGATCTCGAATACTGGGATTTGGATTATGCGTATCCAACCCGTCATAGTCTAAAGGCATTTCCATAGGAATTTCCTCGGCTTTCCCGTATTCACCAGGGATTCGAGGACCGTCTTGGTATTTTAAATACGTGTCTGCCGCATCTACAAGCTCATTCCCCATTTGGTCGATCAGGTCTCGAAAAAGTGCATCGGAGAGATAGTGTTCCTACAAAAAAATTCCAGAAAAGGAGTGCATATAAACGGTTATCATTTAGTATCTCAATAGGAATACATGATTTCTTTATATAAAACAATGTGTATAATACCTGTAAAAAACCATGGTGCATTGTTTGCGAAAGGCTTATATTGCAATATTCCACATAAAAGAAAATTTTATATTAACAGTTTCAAAACATTTTCAAATGCTTTGTGTCCGTTATACATCCCAGACAGCATTAAGATGATATGAAATGCGCTGAGAAATTTAATCCACGTCGATAAATTAAAATTCATCTATACCCTTTTTGTTGGTAACACCATTTTGAATACTCAAGTGGTAATATAAGCTGACGCGCCACGTTACCGACATTTGCAATTATATTGAAGTTTATTACACTTCACAGTGAAAATGACACGAAATGAAGCGTTCGATGTAATTTCAGTAGAATAATTATAAAGAAATCGAAGTAAAACTTTCGAAATCTCGTGAATTTTTGATACTTTAATGGGGCACTAGCGCCATCTGTGATGTTTAGCTGCAATTAAAATTTTGCTGTTAAAATACGTGTTACCCACGGGGAATTCTCTTACAGTTCATGAAAGTATTTTCCATACTTTCAAATCTAACTCTGTAATATTCCATTTCTATAGTATTCTAAATTGTTTAAGCTAGGTCCCGGAACTGCTCATTTTCGATTCTAAATCTTCAGAAAGCGTAAACCATTGAAAACGGACGACATCATGTTGGTTCTAGTTCATGATAAACAATAACATTGTTTATAAAAAATGAAATTTCATGAGTTTCAGGACCTATCTTAGGGCTTCCATATTTACATGACAAAATTTGAAACGAATAGGACACTCATTTCAGAGAATACTTCAAATATATACAGGGTGTGACAGAACTCCTAGTCACGGTTTATACAGTGCTATCATTGTTCAAAAAGGAGTCGAAAAGTCCTGTATTATTTTTTCCTACAGTGCATAAATTTCCTGTAATAACTAAATGAAGCACAGCCATTCAATCGCGTTCCCCAACGGAATGCATACGCGATTGAATGGCTGTGCTTCATTTAGTTATTACAGGAAATTTATGCACTGTAGGAAAAAATAATACAGGTCTTTTCGACTCCTTCAACAAGGATAGCGCTGTATAAACCGTGACTACGAGTTCTGTTACACCCTGTATAGGCTGACCCTTTCATATCACCTTAAATATTCTATGGTTATTCAAAAAATATTTAAAAAATCTGTTAATGACCATACCATATTCACAGAATATTGTATACATTTTGAAATGGTCACTTGCGAATATGACATGAATTNTTTTATCTTGCCTGACGTATGTTTTATTAAATGATAATGTTACAAATCCATCTCAAACAAGCTTCTGTGCTTTAAGGGTACCCTCCCGTCAAAACGCTCGAAAAATAAATAATTTTCATAAAGCGATTAAAAAAATGAGGTAAAGAAACTTTAAATCCTTCAGTAACACATTTAATTGACGCGGCGAAAAAAATTAGTTTATTTTGATTTAATATTTTTCCCACGAAATATGTAATTACATTTAGTGTGTCATTAGAGTAAGTATATCTCTCGATGGACATCATCAGAACTCGCAACAGGAGCATCTGATATAAAAGAATAAAAACATTTTTTTCAAATACACATAAATGGTTGCCGTAATATCTACCTCCTCAAAAGACACCTTAGATGTAAAAGAACGTCGCCAAATACATTCTTGTTTCTTTTTTGAATTGTAAAAAGAATTCAAACCGTTTTTTTTTAATTACAAATGGAAATCAACTATTTTTGACAAATATGTTATTACTTTCATTTTATTAATTACTCAAAATACATATCATTGCCAAATTATTGTACATTTTGTTCTACATAATACGAGTACATCAATTCTAAAAATATTATCACTTAAAATCATGTGTCCATGAAAATCTAGTTTTTTATATTTTTCTAACCAAATAAAACTTAAAATTAAATTTGATCAAATAAAAAAAATTAAAAACTAAATTTGAAAATATCATTTTTTTTGGAGAGCAATGAAATACTGACGAAAAGTTCAATGAGTTTGGGTGCTCGCCAAATAAAATGTTTTCGAATTGAATTTTTAATTTTTTTTATTTGATCAGATTTAGTTTTAAGTTTTATTTGGTTAGATGAAAATAGAAAACTGTAGATTTTCATACACACATGATTTTAAGTGATATCATTTTTCGAATAGATGTTTTGTATTATGTGGAACAAAACGTACAATAATTTGGCAATAATATGTATTTTGAGAATTTAATAAAATGAAAGTTGTAACATATTTGTGTTAGGTTTAACAAAATGTACAACAATGGCAAAAATATCTTATTTGAGTATTTAATAGAATGAAAGTACCAACGTATTTGGAAACATTTTTTTACTCCCATTTTTTAATAAGAGATACTTTTGGTAATTATTTATTATAAATCATTAGTAGTTTTCCTTCGATACCAGTTTTAATATCAAATCTTTTACTTTCTCAATATAATTAAATTCTCTTCTGATATCGTTTTTAACATTAACATTTTCAGCTTGGTGTACTAGTAATACGAGGAAAGTATCGAGTTACCAGTACACCAAACTGAAAATGTTAATGTTAAAACTGATATCGAAAGAAAATTGAAACTGGAGTCGAAAGAAACTACAAATTATTATATGTAAAAGTAAAAGAGGAGTCAAGAGAGGATCTACTCTAACATCAAAAGAAGCAAGGTATTAGTTTGGAAGGAGCGATACGAGAAATCACTAATCTAAATGTGTCGACCGATGTTAAATCTACGAAAGGACGATATCAGAATTCATCGAAAGTTATGAATAAACTGCATATAATCTAATTTAATATCAGTACAAGCAAGGAATCAGTCCAGAAGGATCAATACCAGAAATCACTAATCTAAATGTGTCGATCGATGTTAAAAGTATCAAAGAACGATACCACTAAAGTACGAAACTAAAAGTGTTAATCGAAAGAAAACTGAACAATTCCTAACCTAAACGGATTTGATAGTGCTGGTTAACCTGAAAATGTCTGTATCAACGATTTATCTTGACAATTTGATGAAAATCTTCAACGAAATATTTATTTAACCTAAAAATGTCAGTAGCAACGACTTATCTTGACAGTTTGATGAAAATCTTCAACGAAATATTTATTTAACCTAAAGATGTCATCAATGTCTAATCTGAAAAAAATGTCATGTTATCGATGTTAATAATCTGAAAATCATCCATTTGTCATGATACAAAGGAAACGGCAGATATATGTTTATTTCAAAATATCATCGATGTTTATTAACTTTGTGGCCGGTGCCTCACTGAGCGCGTTGTGTGCCACATAGAGCGCGACGTGTCAACACGTCAAGGATGAAAACCAATCAGAACTGCAACGGAAGCGATCACGAGGTTAAGCGCAATTCTGATTGGTTTTTCATCCTTGACGCGTTGACGAGTTACTCGGTGTGATCGTCGATCGTTGCAGCGCTGAGCGCCGCAGTTCATTTTCATTCCTCGAGAGGCGCCATCGAATGTCGTACGAAAAGTTGTATGAAGGTTGATCTATCATGAGAGTGCGAAAATAGTATTCCCTGACTGGAGGGACAACGATGACGATAGGACAGTAACGATTCTGAGCATGCCGAAAACTTTACCGTGCCATATCTTTTCGTAGATGGCAGCAATTAGAGTCGGGTAAATTAAAAAAAATTCCTGATTTTTTGCTGGATTTTTTGAGTTGACCGAAAGTTTATTTCTTTACCTGTAGCAATGAAGAAATTATATTTCCATTTCTCCCCTCTTGAAATCTCAATCCGCACTGTACAATCAAACCTGTTTTTGTGCGGTCTTTTTTATGCAATTTTTTTGTGCGATTTTTTTTTTGCGGTATATTAATATCGGGATTCTGTTGTGTCATTAAATGGAATGTAACCGAAAACACGTTCACGTTATCATCAGAAATCATTGCTCTAGCACATAACATCTACGGAGAAGGTTTCGACACTTTTAGCGAAAATGATCTTATCGAAATGATTAAGGACGAAACCGTAACTGATAGTGATATTTTCAATAACTTAACAGCAAATTGGAAAAGCATTTTCTTAAAATAGATAACAATTCCGAAAGAAGTTTGAAATTCCAAAAAGAGCTTCGATTGTGTATATCTGGCTATCGCGACGTTTACAAGCAGCTGATCATTTGACCGACGTCGCAAAAATTTATCACCGACTACATGGTAACAAAAAATAAATCAACTCTAATATCTTCAAGTGAGGAAAGCGATTACGAACCCGTTTATCACCAGAATATGCGCGTTTTGGATTACGATGAGTAGTATTGAATTATGTACATTTTGAAAATTTCTCCATGTTTAAAATGAGAAATAAAAATTTTTTTAAATATTTCCATGTGTAATTTAATTATTTATTTTGTTTGGAAAGCACTTTCTCGCTACTTCGTAAAGCTTTGACATATTTTCTGAGACTTTTCTTATGCGGCCCCTCTTCGCCGCATAAAAAAAATTTTCCCCGTTAAAAGATATAATTTGTACGGTGACATAATGAATGCTATATATTTCAGGGGAAAATATATTAAATCCATCTACTCTCACTTTTTTATCACTCAAACTTGTATTACTAAAGGACTTTAAGTGTTTTTACCTTAGGTTACTTAGTCCTGTATTGATATTATTTTTCAAATATGCGTTTTCAAATATTCCAAAAGTATGACCAAAATATTTATTTACAAATATCTGTTTACTAATATTCTGGAAATATAATACCGACATTCACAATATTTTCAGACATTTTCATGTATCCTCCAAATATTAACTTATATTCGATGCTATCTGGGATTTTTTATATGTATTTAATAAAGAGGCACACTGTACCGTATGAGTACTAATGTCAGTCTTATAAATGAAAAATATAAAAATATATTAAGAAACGAGAAAATATGATAACCGGAAACGATTTTTTGTTTTTTATTTATGGGATTTAGTTTAACCATTTTTTAGTGAATGTTTGAAAATCCAAAGTAATATGAAAAAGTGATTTCCTTTAAAAGGTTCAGTCTTTGATCAATGATTCTTCTTTTCCTTTCTTTACACAAATGAACGATGTGAATGTAGAAGTGTCATAAAATTTGCGAGTAAGAGCTTTTACATTGAATACAATACTAATAACATATACGTACTTTGATGTGATCTGCCTTAATATGAATATGATAATACAGACATTAAATACGAATATGGTAATTTTTCAATAAGTACATGATATTCTTTTTAATTTTGATAATATTGAAAGTGGAAACAGTTTTATATATGAGAAATGGAACTTATGAAAGGAAGTATTTTTGCGAATTGATTCAGGAATTTGATTCGATTTAGTATTATCCCTCTACTTTACCGTTTATAATACTGTATTTTTCTTTTATCCGCCGCTGTTATTATAAGACTTAGGACATTTAAAATTTTCCGACGTTATCATGTTTTTGACAGGTCTACGCTTTATTTAAGATTTTTGATAACGTTTCTCGTTATTGACTTGTTATGGGATATCAGCTTAATTGGAAGAAAAAAGAATTAATTATTGCTATACCAGTTAACTCATTTCATTATTATTTTCTACACGTACAATGTTAATGATCGTATAAAACAAGATAGAAATTACCTTCATTGGTGGTATGTACAAACTGGCCTGTGCAATGACAACAGTCGTAAGAAGTGTAATTGCATGGATCATTTTGGAGAGGATATATTATACACCTGCAAATTAAAAAAAGTTCAGTTACTATCTTAGACACACTTAACTCTGGAATGTGTACATCACAACCAAGATAATGACTTTTTCCATAGAAGCTTCAAAGACCAAAATCAAACTAAAATTAAGTTTTGAAGCACTGAGCTTTGTTATAGTTATGTGCACTACTTGGCACTATAGCAATGATTTTTCTTCAAATGTATTACCTATTTATTTATCAAATATTTTTGCGACTAAATAATAGCTAATACAGTTATCCACGTAATATTATACATTTATAATTTAACAATATTTCGAAAGACACGAATGGAACATAATCATGTGATTAATTCAACAAATTGTACAAGATTTATCTGTGAGGTTAATTCTATTTGTATTTCTTATAAAAAGTAGTGAAAATAATATTTTAATATCTATTCTCACAAGAAAGTATAACTGATATATTTGTCTTTCTTAATATAATGACCACTCCGCTTAAATCATCTAGATTAATTCGCATTCTAGATCTAAACTAGGCTACATCAAAATCGAAAGTGAACTATTTTATTCCATTGATAAGTTAGTATCAGTTCTCACAGTATTCTGAAACTAAAGTTTGGAGTATTGGCGTTCTTTTCAAATGGTAGTCAACAAATCAAGAAAGCAATTTATTTCATAAGCGACATGAACGTTCACTGATAATTTGCTTGTAATCGGAGGCTAATTTAGTAAACCGGAAACATCTAATCGAATTTAATTTTAATTGCACTAAGGAAGCGTTTTGACATGAAATTACCTTCTTGTGACCGCATTTCACAACAGCTTGCTCTTTTCGTATTTTTTTTCTCTTCATTGAATTCATAATAGAGTGTAAAACTCATTCTTAGTAATGCGCCGATTAATGAATCACCGTGACCAGAAAGTCTTTTAGAAGAAGGCGAAAAAACGAAGGCATCATCAGCTTGGCAGGCGGAACTCGCGAAGACTGACTTAGAGGGTGATGAACGAAATAAACGGGATTGTCGACGCACCCTGTCTCGAAAGAAGTCGCGTCACCCACGCCATCTCTTGCCTTCATATCCGGTCCCGTTTTTACTCACCTGGCGGTAATGGGTGGTTGGCGAACAGCTGTTCAAGTGGTCCTCGAGGAGAAACCGTTCGCTCCCGTTTCAACGTCAGCCACACGCGCTTTTCCGGTTCCTAAGAGAAAGCGCCATTGGCGCCATTGCCGGTATAAAACGGTACCAAAGTATTGATCAGAATTTTCATGATACCGTTCCCCCTTCGCCTTACCTCCTCGACCGTCCTCGGGACTTCGGCTCTTCTATTCTCTCTCTTTCTCTCCCCCTCCCTCTCCCTCCCCTTTTCTCTCTCACAACCCCCATCCACAAACCGAATTACGTTTAAAGGACGTTTCGTGGCCAAGCTTTTGCCTGATGACGTCATTGATTATATGACTTAGGCCAAATCGCAGCCACCTGTTTTCAGTGATCCGAGGCAGTGGATTTGTACTCTTTTTACTCCTTCTTTCCCCGTTATGACTTTTTGTGGTTTTACAGTTCTCTTCAATAAATTATTTACGTGTAGTGTCGATGAATGGCAAATTAAATGTATATGCACTTTTGTCGATCGATTTCAACCCATTTGCGTCGTGTGGAAAAATGAAAAAAGGGTCCTTATCACCGAAATTTCATGCTAAATGATAGTGACCAGCATAATTGAGCGCATATGTACGCTCAGGTGATAGTGACCAGGAAAACTGAGCGTATATATACGCTAATGATGCAAATGGGTTAAGGATTTGACTGATTTTTATTGTTTCGCAAATTTCCATGCCTAAGATTCGAAGTTCTGTCGAGGAATTTTCGATACTTTCTGTGCCAGATACTTAACTCCTTCAAGAAGTTAAATTGTCGCTAGACTTCAATAGAATAACGTTACTGTCAGTACATTGTTCAATACAAGCAATTCCTAGTCTTTCTTCTCGTTGATTGTAATTCTGCTATTTTAACATTCGGTTTCCTCTTTTCCTCTGTCACTACATTCGTTTAGTTGTTGTGGATGTACAAGGAAAATTAATTTGTGCTACTATCTTTTATTAGTCAACATTAGTGGTCAGAATTACTGATATTCTGGATGGACGTATTTACACTATACGAATAAAAAATTGATACGCAGAATATATTTTACGATATTGATCTATTTTGTAGAATATACAGATATACAGGTACACAGAACATATAGGAACATAGGTTAGGAAGGTTAGGAAGGTATAGGTTAGGAACATATAGGAACATAGAGTCAAATTTTAACACGTTTTAGATTACAGCTTATGTGCCATTCTCTACGTTAATTTGAGCAAATGATGCCCATCTGCTTTCACATGTTTCATTTCGATTACTCCTGTCTTCCTGTTTTATTTTGAGATTACCGTGCTTTCTTTTGCAGCCTTTTGTCTGAAATTTATACATATATATACAAATATATGTAAACGTATAAATGATTGTTAATAAATGTAACAATCAATACTTTACAAAATGCGTTATGGAATTATATATGCACTAAGAAAAGAGATTAGTTGACTGAAAAAAATATATGTTGTTGACATCAATATTGTTGTGTGAAGATACATAATTCGGAGAAACAATTATGTTGAAAAGTAAAATTGATTGTGCGATTCCTTCAAATAAGAAAAGGTTGATTCAATCACCTATATTTTTGTATCGTCTTTGCGTTTCGATAGGATTGCTAGATGATACTTATGGTTCTGAATTTTCTCAAAGGTTGTATGGATGGTAGTTCGTTTATACATGTATAAGATTCGTCATTTTTAACGTTTATGTTATAATGTCCTAGTTTATTGTTTTAGATTTCCGATATTCCAGTTTTACGACAAGAAGGGACGCTGCCTCGGCCCGGAGAGGAGAAAAAGAAGAAGAAAATGAAAAAAAAAACAGTTTGGGCAGTGAATAATAGTATTTCGTAAATTTTTGTAAAAATGATGGAAAAATACTGTCAGTAACAAGAGAATATAATAAATCCAAAAACGTCCATAATCACGAAAATTGTTTTTTGATGTATAAATAGCCAATATTGATCCAATCTTGCTCAATATTGGCCCGCGCTGTGGGCTGACATTATGCTTATTTTATTTCAGTCTTTAAATAATATTGGCCCAATTTAAGCAAATTGTCCGCCATAATCATTATATTATAACAGGTATCACTTCTCCTTTATTTGATTCAATAAATTAATTCTCATTATTCAATTTGACATTTCTTTGGACGTATTTGATCGCAAGATTTTGTTGTCGCAATGCATATTTCTGTGAGTCAAGCAACTTTCTTTCCTAGTGTACCTCTTAATCGACTAAATATGTTTAGAGACAATTAAATGCCTCTTCAGGGTGTATTAAGGTGTACTGAAACACGCCAAGAAATTTGATCGACGTCGTTAAAAAGGATTCTTTTAAATACCTACGTTACGGACTTTTGTATTTGTATCGACAACTTCTTCGAATTATATTGGGTATTGTACTAAATGACATACTCCATATGTCGTTTCCGTATAATAATTATAAAGAAATCGAAGTAAAACTCCAGAAATCCAATGGATTCATGGTTTTTTATGTCCCAACTGACTGTAGAGTGCTACCATGCGCCACCTATGATATTGGTGTCAACTAAATTTTCTCTTCGAGATCTCGTATTATCTTCGTTTTAGAATGAAAGCTCATAAGATACTTTTTGTCCTTTATCCCATTTAAATGCGAGTTTCTCGATTACTACCCAGGGACTGCACGATGCAAGTGCAATATCCATATACCCACAGAACACTCTAATATAACTGTTAGGTACATGTTACATTTTCGAGGCTAACGTGTTATGTAGCATAAAAGTAACATCGAAGTTAGATATTTGTTATTATTTCCCACTCAATAAGGTAAACATGTTATGTAACATGTTATATTAATAAGTTCCGTTGCCTTAAAATAATATTAATTTTTCAAACATTTAATAAAACAAAAATAATGGAATGTTTTATTTTGTATTATTTGGTGGCACTTGGTAATAGTTAGGTATTATATAATAAACCAGACTATAAATAAAATTATGTGAATGATAAACTATCTGATTTTAAATAAAAACAATGATTTCATTCGACTAGCAAACAATTACTCATAATGTGTATGCACATGCGAATTAAAATTACATTTTTTCATACAAGTAGTAAACAAAATATGACATATTAATGTTATGACATTTGACGATGAATTATGACAATGATGATGATGATGATGTAATAAAATAGATGACAGCACCAATGTAGTTCTGTTTTGTTACAAATATGTGCTGCATGTACACGGTAATATCAGGACAATAACATAATGTAAGATAAGAATAAGAAAGTTACGCTACATTTATATAGATATGATAGTAACAAATATTATGTAACCTGTTAGCTTCATGTTACATAACTGTTAGTTACTGCATTGTAACAAATGTCATGTAACTAGTTAGCTCTATGTTATGTAACTGTTAAGTTATTACACTGTAACAAACGTTATGTTATTTGTTAGTTTTAAGTTACGTAATTGTTAGGTTTGGTGTTCAGTGGGTATTACTCGTATAAATTAGGTCTATAGGTATCGCAAATGTATATCGTCTATTATCCACCTAAAAAAAATATTTTTTGTAAGTATATGGATCTATTTTATGTATATGGCTATAGAATATATATCACAAATATCTAAACGACATATATAAATATCTATGTTTCTTGTAGATGAAAATTATATATCCATTATTGATCTACAAATATCTACATATTTCTTGACGTGTACAAAATATGTAGTAGCTCTGGTAGACATCTACCACAGGTTAATCAACATCGTTGATGATACATTTAGAAAAATAAAAAGACACCTCATGTAACCTAACATGTTCAATACATAGTTAATGTTTCTAATCTAAATTCCAATTTGACAAAACTGTTAATTTCGTCCATACTCTGATTTTTTATTTACTTCCTCCTTGGCTGATGTCCATACATCATGATTTTTAATCACTATGTAAATTATGATGCATTACCAGGCTCCGTATGAAGTATAATATACTTATAGTGGACGTCCAAATTAGGACGTAGGTATAGAAAACATACATCATGTATGGTATGCATAATAAAAATATCCCGTGAATATATATGTAAATCTTTTTCACGCCTATATTTTCAGTACATACATCATAGACGTTTAGATAACATATATAGATACCTAAACTCTTGGAAAACGTTAAATTAATAGCTTATATTCAGCTTCCATAGACTTAAAAAATGTAGTTACACTGTAAAAAATGGCGCACATTTAAATTAAATATCTTTAAAAAATATTTAAAAAAGTCATGCACTTTTAGTAAATAAGGTTGTAGTAAAATTAGTATCGAATTTAGTATCTTAAAAGTGAATCGGTATACATTTATTATACACTTTTAAATAAAAAGATGATTTTACAATATACTGTTATAATTTGTTAAATGATTTTTAATTTAATAATCACTAACAATTTTTTTTAAAGAATAAGTTTACAACAAGATGCAGTAAGTATTTTTATCACTGATGAAGAAGTACCGTAGTGGTCTTCATAAGACCGAAAAATATTTTTCCTTTATAGGCTTTGGTAGCATCATGGTCAGCGTTACTGCTTCTTACCTGAGTCCCAAGTTTAGATTCGGACAATTGCAAAAAATGTGTCTCTGCTGCATGTTGTACTGAACAAGTTCTCAAACAGACTCGGTTAAAAAAGTGTTATGAATTTCATTTTTCTTTACAAATACATTTGCATATAGAATTAATATCTATGACGTAGATTAACCACCTATGTAGATATCTACGATATATATGTATTATGTACCATATTCGGCCATCCAGCATTTGAGTGTATCTGAAATAGAGTTTATAGATATATGTATATATATGTATCTAATATACATTCAATAAATATTTATATACGGGTAATATACGGATATTCCAATTTGTGCGGTGCCTGGGCGGGTCCACCAGCAACTACTCAATCTGGGACTGGACACACATATGTACGAAAAATTCCTGATTCGTATATAGGATACTAATATGTTACACGTTTAATTAAGGTTACCCTTGCGGAGTAACAAATTTCTCTGTTGTATTTATCGCAATTGGATGTTATCATTTAAATAAGT